TCCATCTTTTGCAGTTAAAGAACGACTTATTGAAGTTAAAGAAACGACCGATAAAACAGGCAAATAGGCAATGGACAAGCCGGTGATACACTTACGTCATTAGAAGATAGTGGTTTGAAGTCCTCTGAACTGGTTTTCCAGTCCTATGATTTCGCTTCAAATATGTCTGGAATACACAATGGTGCGCAGGCAGAAATTGAATAGAAATTGGATAGGAAAGTTCCATACATTCCTTGCCAGGGTCATAGATGTAATACTGTGGTTGAGCACGGATGTAAAAGTAGCCATATCATCCAGGAACTGTTCAACACTCTGCAGGAGCTCTATGTTTTTTTTCTCAGGAAGCACAAAGCGTCACGCTGTCATAGCTAAGCACCTGGAACAAGTTTAAAACTGTCTCCAGCTAAGAAATCTTTCCAAGACAAGGTGGACGGCAAGGGCAGAATCCATCAAAGCTGTGTGGACATCTCTTGAAGCTATAGTTAAAGCTTTAGAGGAAGCTTTCGCAGCACCAAAATTGGATGCAAAAGTCAAAGCAACAATTTCTGGGTTGCTGAAGAACGTAAAGAGCTTTGATTTTATTGTCTCCTTAAAGTTTATGAATAACATTATGTTCAAGACTAAGAACACAAGCGAAATCCTCCAGCAAGAAGAACTTAACATCGTAGATGCTTTAGAGCTGGCTAAAGCCAAGGTAACATCTTTGGAAAGAATCAATAACAAAGAAACAGAGATGAATGATATGATAGAAGCAGCTGTGTTGTATGCGAAGACGTCATTCCAAATTGATGCCAAAGAAGAATGTACAAGAAGTCACCGCGTAAGGCGTAACCCGAGGCGATACGACGAAAATCCCCAAAAAACGACAGCTTTCACCTTTTATCAATATTATAGAAAGGAGTTCAAGTGCGTTTTGGATGTCCTTATCTCGCAATTTAGGAACAAGATGCAGCCGACATTGGATGTTATCGCCCCTATAGCCCACGCTCTGCAGGTTCCTTTGCACGAGCCATCGCCGAAATCATACAGAAACTCGCAGAAATGTTCCCCAATGAAGTGGATGCTGACGTGTTAGAAGCTGAACTTGAAGTTTTCAGAAATATAGTCGACCACAAGGAAGAATTAAAGAACGGAAGCATGAACAACATCGTCCAATTTGCTTATGAGCAGAGAAAAACACTGCCATTAACATGGAAGGCATATCAGTTAATGCTAACAGCTCCAATTTCAGTCGCTAAAGATGTGTCGTGAAGAGTGTTTACCGCTCAACAATGGTGGACAAGAGGTTAGATAATTTGATTCTGTTAAATTGTGAAAAGGACCTGACAGATGGTTTAGACATGTACCAAGTAGTAAATGAATGGGCATCAAAACGAATTAGGCGTTAGATGGCAAACCGAGAATATATATTACTTTATATGAACGGAATTCAACGAATACTTTCAGTCTTTTCCTTCTTAAAAAAACTGTGTCACTCTGACGAAAGCGATTCAGCATGTGATATTTCAACTTGTATTTCTTGTAATGCTATATTTCGCTACCAATAATAAAACTCGTGTCAAATATAAAGTTTCAGACTTTCAGTTTGATGTTATTAGAGGCTTGGTGCAGCCTCGTACCCAGGCGCAAATAACGTACTAAAAAACAGCAACACTACAGTTTTTTATATAGATCAGTGGCTGAGCGAGCGCGCGGGGGTGCTTGGGGAGGACTTGGGAAGCGAGGCGCCTGGCAGAATTTGTAACAAACATGGCGGACATGAGAATGCAAAGAAGGAAATTGCTGTACTATATAAATGAAATTGAAAGGCTTGCCTAACGAGCGGTACATTTGGGAAAGATTTTATGTCCAAATGATCACTGCGTTGATAATAAGGATTTTTCCTCGAAAACGGTATTTTAATTAAAGGTCTCCTCAGGAGACCAGCCTCTCGAAATTAGAAAGTCTGCTGGCCAAATTGGCCATTCCATTTATTATCCGCACCACCCCTATGGATGAGCGGATTCCTACCGGTCAGATATTAGGACTTAGGGGATTCCTACTGGTCAGATATTGGGAATTAACAGATTCCTTTGGCCCGATTCCTACCGGTCAGATATTGCCGTCAAGGTGTAGCATACTATATTGCCAAATATTTATTATGAGAATCATAATAATTTCATTTATTATTCTCACCCCCCCCCCCGGTCTGACATTGGGAATTAGCAGATTCCTACCGGTGAGATATTGGCAATTAGCAGATTCCTACCAGTGAGATATTGGCAATTAGCAGCATTCCTAGGGTTTAGATTGATACTGTCGATTCCAACAGGGTACTTCTCTGAAATCCGATTCCTACAGGTAACATTTTTACCAGAGCTCATCCATAGGGGGGTGCGGATAATAAATGGAATGACCCAATGATGAGAGAACTCGAGATTATTGAACATTCTAAAAAAACTAACGATTTATTTCAAATGGTTGAAAATATATGTCTGGTGTTGGATGCACATCATGAAATATACTGCCTTTTTGCGGTTTGAAAGAGAAACTGACCAAGCAAAGCAAAGAAACTGTCTTATTCTTGAATCTTTTAATTTTAATATGAATATTTTCATAATACATTGAATTTATATGGAATGTTGAAATTACTATTTATTTGTACTGATGATACCTTTTACCTCAGAGGAGAAAATTTATAACTAGAAAATATTTTATTGTAGGTTTCTTAGTGTCTAAAATTTTACCAATAAAAAGGTCTATATTAATTTTAAACATGCATGACTGCTTTATAGTATGCAAAATATCAGTATATCAGTGAAGATATAAACATTTAATAAATTTAATAATATAAAACCTGTTTTGGCCATTTAGCTAGTGTTGTAACTGGCTGACAGTAAGTTTAAAGGCTAAAGCACAAACTAACCCAGTGTTTTATACTCTGATGTGTATTTTGTTCTTCACCTTGCATTTGACCTATAAAGGCTATTGCCCTTGATTGCCAAAATCTACCATGTTTACACTAAGGAGTGGGTAGACTCTGGACTTACCTGTGGCCACATATAATGCATTTGACACCTAGTTACAGGACAGTGTCTAAAAAACTGGACAATTTAATGGTATGGTTGCATATTGCAATTTGTTGGGCTGATTTCAGATGCATGTTAATAATAATCAACGATATTTGAAAAATATGTGGCAAACATCATCCGATGGTCTCACTGAAAATATGTGTCAACATTAAATATACACACATTACATATACATACACAAAAATACATATACACATGTACCATATACACACTTAACACACATGATTTACCCTGTTGTCATGGAAATTGGTCTCGGGGTTAGCCACCCCAAATTTTTCACCTGAAACCATTTCAGGTCACTCAGGGTAGGTCCCAGTAAAGTGCTTGGACAACAACAAGACCTATCCCAGTTGTTTCTGTGCTTGTTCCTAAATCCTGTATATGGTCATCGGTTCAGCCAAGTTAGAACGGGCATATGTTTTACACAACTTGACTGAATGAGATATACCTCATCAACATGCTATGCAAACAACAACCCCTGTAACATTTAAAGTCTTGAGAATTTTATTTATTTTGCTCATAACATAAAGTACTAGTATTTACATTCAAAGGAATCTAGCTAGAACTATAGCAATATTTATGCAAATTTAATACTCTTGTGGGTTTTTATTTATAGACCCATGCACTCACCCACAGCTGAACTTCTCAACAAGCTAGGTACATGTCATTGGCACAAATTAACAGCTTAGCCCATCAAGTTCCACTGCACCCTACTGGGGCTATGGTGGCGTGCTGATTGTGCCACCGACTTTGGTAGTGCAATTGTCAGAGCGAGGACTTTTTACATCTGAGATTGTTGGTTCAACTCTCACCACTTCAACGACACTTAAATGTGAAAAGAGTCATGCTGTCAACACTCTGACAAAAGTTGTGGGTTTTCTCCGGGAACTCCAGTTTTCTATAGAGGGAATGTTGACGGGTGGCTTGGGATTAGCCTCTAA